CTGTCTTTCCAGCAAGCGCCCGTGCCCTATAACAAAAACCCCTCAAAAAAAAAAAAAAAAAAGAAAGAAAAGAACAGTGGGCTATGGGATGGCGAACGTTTTGTCAAGAGCAACAAGGGACCCTGGACAGGGGTAATTCAGTACAGAAACAGGCTGCCAAGGGAAGCCTCTGAACCAGCAGCTGGGAGGTCTGTCCTAAGTCCGTCACGGCTCCCTCTGCAAAGGCCCACACGACAGGCGGGAGCCTGGAACGGCGCCTGGCTCTGTGCTCTTGCCCAGGGCCCCAGGTCCTGGAGAGGGTGTGGCGCCCACTCCACAGACTTTACCTCTTGAGGACTTTCCCAGATCCTTTGCCTTTCACCGCTTCGGCATCACCTCTCAGCACAGCGAGGAAGTTCTGCGGGGTGACATCCTGCAAGGAAGTGGGCGTCAGATCAGATCAGCCAACATTCCAAGTCAGAGAGCTCACCGCGTCTGCAGACCCAGCCCGCCGGCCCACACGACCCAGGGCTCGAGAACGTCCAGGGGCAAGTTCTTTGGAACCGAGAAGGACCCACTATGAGGGCAGTGTTCTTGGGGCACGCCTATGACCTCTTCACGAGTATCTTTTGACTGAAGCAGTTCAACACGCCTGCCATTCCTTCCTGGTCACTAGGAAGCCAGGGTGGAGAACCCAAAGTTGTCAGCAGGGAAGGAAAAACAGCAGAGGAAGAGAACATGACTCAGAGAGGGGCAGAAACATTAGCACTGGGCCCTCCGTTTCATCCAGCTGCTGCCTAACAGACTGAATCCTAAGGACATCTGAGGTCCTAGAGGGGGACTTTGTAAAGTTGCTTCTTCATTAACACACACACACACACACACACACACACACACACACACAAAAGGAAAAATAATGTAACCTGAATCCCACCCTTTGGATTCAAGACTTTTCCTTACGTAACCATTTAGAAAAACAATTTCATAAAAATGGGATCATCAGGCCAGTAGGTAGTGTGGTAGTTAAAGGTGCTGGATTTCCACATGGCTGACCACGGCTCGAGTCCCAGACCTGGCAGCTTGCTTTCCTGTGTTTCCTTTCTCTCTGTCTTTGTCTGATCAAATTAAAAATAATAACAACAACAAATGGAAATAAATAAATATTTTTTTAAAAATGAGATCATCTATATTACATGTATGATGTGTTAAATTTCACTGTATCTGGATTAAAAAGAAAAAAAAATGAAATGAAACTGAAAGAATGGCTAAACTTCAGATAAACTGCAAGAAATATTTAGTTCCTAAAAAAAAAATCCTTCTGTGGACCAGCAGTTAGTGTAATGGCTACGTCGCTGGACTCCCACGTAGTCAACCGTGGTTTGAGTCCCAGACTCAGTGGCTTAAATTCACGCTGGGCATGCATCTCTAAGATCCCAAGAGGAGAATGGAAGAGAAGGGAGAGCGGCGTGGCCATCCCCCTGGGAGGTGATTTCTGGCTTTCTATCTCTCTGTCTCTGTCTTTATGGCGAGCGCATGCACCCTATAGCAAAAACCTCTCAAAAAAAAAAAAATCCTTTTGAAATTAAGTAAAAAGAGACCAAAGAAACGACGAGACTAAGGCAGTTATATTGCTTTTTTTTTTTTTTAATGTGTCAACGTATGCAGTCTCAACCAACTGGGAAGAATGTAAAAATTTCTGGAAGCAATACACTGTAATAATAATTAACAAAAAAACTATTTTGGTAAAGTCCTGAGATACTGTGCACCCGGCTTGGTGCTAACAAAATAAGGAAACTGATTTTCATAAAAGGACATCATAATCTATAATTAGAGCAACAGCAATACCTCAAGAAAACTACTTACTAGCAAAGGAATCTACCATCGGGCTTCCAGGGGAGAAGACTAGGAATGAGATATGAGCAGCAGACCTTATTTGAACAGTTTTTCTTTTCTCTGCTTTCTCCCAAAATTCTAATTTATACCTCAACACAAATCCTCATGCAAATGAGAAACTGCCCAGAAATCAATCTAGTGAAGCTCTGAGTGTACGGATACAAGAAAAAGGGGGACATCATCCCTAAAATGAAAGCTGAACCCACGGCTCCAGCCCTGCGACCCACTCACCTCTCCGGTGTAGTCCTTCAGGACTCCCTTGTATACATCCGTGCCGTTCGGCCTGTTGATCACAATGCCTGGGGTGGGATTGCTGAGAATTAAGGGACAGGGGTCAGACAACATTGGACATGTCTCTGAAATCTCTTCCTTCAAAAAGATACCCTGGCTACGTGAACAACAGTAGACGGCTCTGTGTGTTAGGAGTGTCTCACGGCGGGCATGGATGTCAACGCGTCAGTGGTCTCAGCAGCTCAGGGCCCTCGGGAGGTCCGCGACTTGTGAGCTCCAGGCAGGAGCAGTGAGGGGCTGAGATCTACAAACGCAAGACCAGGACCAAAGCCCAAGTGTTCCGGGAACCAGAGAGCGTCTTGGGGGCAAGATCTCATCACTAGGCCTCTCAGAGTGAGACTTCTTCCAGAAAGAGACAGGACGGAACACAGACATCTACAAGAGCTTGGGCAGGTCAGAGGTGACATCTGAGCTGTGTGTGTGACCACAGCAAAGGGCAGCGTCCTTCGCAGGGACCAAAGCAGGGGACCAAGGGGCTGGGAGGTCAGGACTGCTAAGTTTAGTGCCCAGACTGGCTGCCTCTGATCTGATTAGAAATCAGATCAATAGGCAGGAAAGAACTAGCTGTAAAATGAAATCGAAGGAATACAAGTAAATGGATATAGAAAAAAGGATCATACGAACCAGAGCTTTCTGTGCCGTCCCCGGCAGAGGGTAGGACAAGCACCTCAGCACCCCACAACGGGCTCCTCAAAACACCCTTGGCATCCCTTCCCCATATCTCTGCCATTGCCAGGGCCCCGAGTCACGGTCAATGCCCGAGAGGGGTCTCCGCGGTGGTTCATCTGCGAGTCTGTTTCTCTCACATTAGGCCACTACTCTAGGGATTTCGGAAAGTCTATGTGTGTTTTTATTTTTCAGTGGCCTGAACATCGTGGCCACCAAGTTCCAAGTGTCCGCTACTTACTCCTCAGAGTTGGCGATGTCGTCGTACATCATGACGATGATCTGCTCGTCGGGAATGCCGTTCCGATGAATGATCTGGTAAGCGTGGCATGCGTCTGCCTGGGAGAGATGACCCGTCAAGTTGAGGTTTTCCCGGAGGAGTTCTCAGAGCACCATGTTCAAGTCACGTTTAGATTTCTCCCGGCTTTGGAGTTCTCAAAACACCACATTCTATCCCGTGGAAAACTTGCTGAGTCATTCCCTATCAGTTGGGTATCTGAATTACTTCTTTTTCTTTTTTTTCTTTTTTTGGAGAGGTTTTTGCTCTAGGGTGCATGTGGTCGCCAGACAGACAGAGAGAGACATAGAGACAGAAAGCGAGAAATCACCCCCCAGGGGGGATGGCCATGCCGCAATCCCTTCTCCTCCATTCTCCTCTTGGATCTTGGGCACGCACGAACACGTGCCAGGTGTGAGTTTTAAGCCACCGGGTCTGGGATGCAAACTGCAGTCGACTACGTGGGAGTCCAGCGACATAGCCATTACACTAACTGCTGGTTCCCTAAAATTTATTTTTAAAAAGTTGGGAGGCTTGGGTCAGCTGGTGGCATGGAGGTTAAGGTGGCTGGATCCCACATGACCAATCATGAGGTTCAAAGCCTGGACGTGGTGGCTGAAAAACATGCCAGGCATGTGTGCATGCCCAAAATCTTGAAAGGAGAACGGAGAAGGGATGTAGCATGCCACCCCCTCTGGGGGGTGATTTCTCTCTTTCTTTCTCTCTCTGGTGAACACACATGCCCTTTAGCGAGAACAAAGAATAGGGAGGCTTTTCTGGGTGACTCCAGGGAGCCCAATGTAATCACAGAGTCCTTACAGGAGAGAAGGTAGCAGGGGAGTCAGTGTCCAAGCGACACGACACTGACCCTTGCTGGCCTTGCAGATGGGAGAGGGGCCTCGAGCCAAGGAATACAGGCAGCACTGACAGCTGGAAAGGGCAAGAAAGGAGCCTAAGGATCACGGCCCCGTCAACACATCGGTTTAACCCAGTGAGATCCACGTCAGACTTCTCAGTTCCAGAGTGTAAGATAATACTACTACGTGGTTTTAAGCCATGAAGTTTGTGGTTATTTGTTACAACAGCCAGAGGAAACTAACGCGATGACGATGGAACTGTAAGGTAACTGCGCTCCCCTCCGGAAAACACCTGGACATTACTGACGAGTCTAAAACACAGACCCTTCACCTAGCAATTCTACTCTTACCTATACTCTTGAAAAACTCCAGCCCACGTGCTAAGGTTTGAATGTGTCCCCTAAAAAGCACATGTTGGAAACTTGATCCTCAGGACCACCAGGTGGTATAAAGGTTATGTTGCTGGACTCCCACATAGTTGACTGCAGCTCAAGTCCCAGACCCAGTGGCTTGAAACTCACACCAAGCTTGTGTGCATGTGTGTCCAAAATCCCTAGAAGAGAATGGAGGAGAAGGGATTGCAGCATGGCTATCTCCCCTGGGGGGGGGGGGTGATCTCTCACTTTCTGTCTATCTAGCGAGCGTATGCACCCTACAGCAAAAATCTCTCTGAAAAAAATCATCCAGAATGCAGTGAGTGCTGGGAGGTAGAGCCTAGTGGGAGGGGATTAGGTAATGCCCTCTTCACAGGAGTGGGTTCCTTACAGAAGGACAAGACTGGTCCCCTTTGCTCTGTGTGTGTGTGTGTGTGTGTGTGTGTGTGTGTGTGTGTGTGTCCTTCTCTTGCTCTTCTGCCTTCCACCATGAATGGCACAGCAAGAAAGCCTTTGTGAGATTGAAAGCCCCTTCCATTTTAGATTTTCTGGTCTCTAAAACCAGAGCTGACAAATTTCTGTCCATTATAAATTACCCAGTCTCAAGTATTCCTGTTACAGCAGCACCTAACAGACTTATACTGTGTACAACAGCAGATGGTTCAGAGCATCAAGAAATAGCCCACATGACCATAAACTGAAAAAATAAACAGTCATGTGCTCACATAGTGGGATACCTGAAAATGAATGAAATACAACCCAGGCTTCAAAGTGCATGAATCTCAGAGATATAACAATAAAAAGAACAAGTCAAATAAAAGACCTGCACTACGGTTGCACTTACATAAAAATCAAAGCAAGCTAAGGTCAACAGTTAAATACTAATATGTAACTAAGAAGCAAAGCAAGAAAAGGATTGGCCGATAAGTTAATAGTGTCATATATGGAGGAGCCGGGAGCTGGGTCCCACCAGATGAGGGCTGAGGTAGTAGCTGATTTTTTCCTTGGGACCAGCAGGTGGTGTGGTGGTTAAAGTACTAGATCCCACATGGCGGACCAAGGAGCTCGAGTCTCATGACAGGCACATGTGCGTATGCCCAAAATCCTGAGAGGAGAATGGAGGAGGAGGAGTTACAGCATGTGGCCGTCCTCTCTAGAGGGTGATCTCTTTAAGAGGGTATAAGGTATGCAGATATTCATTTTATTATTATTCTTTAAATTGTGCATGTTATACATTTATTTCTTTGTTATTTCCTAAAGAAAAAAAATCAAATCTACATTATGTCACATTCAGTCTGCTGTGATGAATGCTGACACAAGCACGTGCGCCCACTCACTCACCCGTGACAGGCCACGCTATTATTTATTTCTCCTGTTGGGTATCAAAAGACAGGCTCACCAAAAATAAAATAGGAACAAACTCAACAAAAGACTAGTAAACTGAAAATTATAAAATGCTGTGGAGAGAAATTAAAGATCTAAGTAAATGAGAAACATCTCATGTTCGTAAAATAGAAGAATTAATACCCTTTTAAAAACAATACAAAGGTCAGCAGGTTTTGCAGAAATTGACAAGAAGATATGGAATTGCAAAAGACCTAAAACAACGAAAGCAATCTTGAAAAAGAAGAACAAATCAGAGGACTTTCACTTCCTAATTCCAAAATTACACTGGGGAAATAAAAATCTTTTCTATAAACAGTGCTGAAATAATTTAGATGTCCACAGGGGAAAAAATGAACTTAGACCCGCACCTTATAACATACACAAAAATTAACTCAAAATAGATCACAGACTTAAGTATACGGGCTAAAACTTTTAGAAGAGGAAATCTTCAGGACCCTGAGTTATAGCTGCAGAGATGTCATACATATGACACCAAACATGGGTCCATAAACAAGAGACTTGTAAATTGGACTTCATCAAAAATTAAACGTTTAGTGCTTTAAAAGACTGTATTGGCCCAACTCCACAGCCTAATGGTTAAGGGAGCCAGATCCTACATGGTCAACTGCATAGCTCAAATCCCAGGCCTGGCAACTTGAATAACACGCTGTGTATGTGTATGTGCGTGTGCATGCGTGTGTGCCCCAAATTACAACAAGATGGAAAAACTAACCCATTGGATAGTGCCTTCTCTCTCTCCCTCTCCTGTGTCTATCTCTGAATCTATCTAGCAAGCACGAGCTCTCTCTGTTAAATTTAGAAAAAGAAATACCACTAAAAATAATGAAATGACAGGTAACAGAGTAATAAAAAAAATTCATAAAACACACATCTGATAAAAGACTTATATTCAGAATATGCAAAGACACTCACACCTTGATAATAATTTAAAAATCAACAGAATCAAAAAATAGGCAAAAGATTTAAAATTCACCTAAGAAGATATGTCTTTAAAAAGTCTATAGAGGGGCCAGCAGGTGGTGTGGTGGCTAAGGTGGTGGTCTGGTGGTCTCCCACATTACCAATCTCAGTTTGAGTCCCAGACCTGGTAGTTTGCTTTCTCACTTTCCCTCCCTCTCTCTGTCTCCGGTGACCTCACGTGCCATATAAAAATTTCAAAATAATAACAAATAAAATTAAATAATTATTTTTAAAAAGAAAAGCATTTATAGAAAATGTGTATTATATAAAAAACTATTCATGGATTTCAGAAAATTTAGCACCAAGATAAGCTTGTATTTTGGGGGGGGTGGAGGAGAGAGATTTTCGCTATAGGGTGTGTGCACTCGCCAGAGACAGGCAGAGACAGAAAGCGAGAAATCGCCCCCAAGGGGGGATGGCCACGCCGCAATCCTTTCTCCTCCATTCTCCTCTTGAGATCTTGGACACACACGCACATGTGCCCCGCATGAGTTTTAAGCCACTGGGTCTGGGAATTGAACAGCGGTCGACTACATGGGAGTCCAGCGACATAGCCATTATGCTAACTGCTGGTCCCAAGATAAGCTTGTATTTTAGCTCCACCTTTTCACAAACTTTCTGACATACCATACCCCCACAGTGGCTAATAAGCACATAAGATATACCCAACATCATTAATCATTAGGGAAATATAAGTTAAAACCAGAATGAGATCCCACTTCATAGTCAGACGAATAATAAGTGTTGATGAGAATCAGAGAACCAGGAACATTTATCTGCTGTTCATGAGACTATAAAATGGCATGGTCATTTAGGAAAATAGCGTGATGGTTACTGAAACAAACATAAATTTACCATGTGTGGGTGGACCCACAGCCTAGCAGTTGAGGGAGCCAGATCCCACATAGCTGACCATGTGGTTTGAATCCCTGCCCCAGAGGCTTGAGAAACAATCCGGGCATGTGTGCAATTCTGACAGAACGGAGAAACAGAGAAGGGATTATGACTATGCCCCACCAGGCTTGCTTTCTCCTTCTCTCTCTCTCTCTCTCTCTGGTGGCACACATGCCCAGGGTAGGGGGGAGCGGGTGGTGGTGGATATCATATGATCCAACAACTCTACTCTTATGAATTTACACAAGAGAAACAAAACATTTACCCACACAAAAGCCTGAACACAATATTTTTTTGTAATTGCCAAGGGGCATGTGCACTTGCCAGAGAGAAAGAGAAAGAAGAGGAGGAAGAAAGCACCCTCAGTGGACACAGTCATGCTGTAATCCCTTTTTCTCCACTCCTCTAATCCCGTCGGGGTTTTGGGCACACTCCTGGCATGTTTTGCAAGCCTCCAGAACTGGGATTCAAACCCAGCTGGTCATGTGGAGTTTAGTTCCCTTAACCACAAGATCATGGGGCTGGTCCTTGAATACAAATTAACAAAATTTTTAAAGGCTTTTGCCACAG